TCCCCCGGCCCCAAGCCCATCGGCTTAAGCAGATCCAGTTCAGAGGGCCCTGCAGCCTCTTTCAAAGCCGCTCTAAGCGCCCGGGCTGCCCTCTGGGCTCTGCGCCTCGTGTGCTAGGGTCTGACCTCCATTCCGTTATCTCGGCTTCAGAGCCCGCCTCCACAGGGGCTGCGAAAGGAGCTGAGTGGTTCGTTCAAGAGAAACGAACTGGAGTGTTCAGCTGCAGGGACAACTCCACCTCGCCCTCCATGAACACTGGTTCCCAGCCCTGGCCGCGGCTGCGAAGGAGAGCCCGCGCCGGCCTCAGTCGAACCCGCTGACCTTCGCGTCCTCAGGAAATGCCTTTTCAGAGACTTGAAAGAGCCGCCTGCCGGGGTAACATGGGGCCCGGCCTCCGGTCACAGGGGACGGACGGAGGCCGCATCCTGACCCAGGCCGCGAGGACAGGGAAGACACACCTCCTCCCTAACGCTTCCCTGCTGGCTTAAATCTTGGGGGAAAATCACTAGAACATTCTAGTGATGGGCTGGCACCCAACTCTCACCTCCAAGAGCTCAACACACCCACTGATCTGAAGCAGAAGACAGCTCAGCCCAAAGGTCCAGGCCGAGTGTGGGCAGCTCTGTACGGGGGTGGGAGGGGGGTGGGGGGGAAGAGGGGGTCACGTCAAAGGTTCCCGGGAAAGGCACCCCGGTGTCCCCTGGGACTGCAGTCAGCGCAATGCCTGTGGCCTTGACCTAGGGGTGTCCTTCGAACCTCCTAACTCAAGCAACGTCAAGCCCACGAGAAAGCCAAATGTCCATTCTCCGGTGGCCACTCGGCCGCAGCTGCCCCGCCAGCCACCAGCGGCCTCCGTCTCCCCTCAAGGGCCTGAGGTCCCTGTTCCCTGGGGAAAAGGTGGAACAAGGTGGCAAAGTCCTGCACCGATGACCATGCACAGGGTGAGAGGCAGACATGCAGTGCACCCACGAGTGCACGTGTGTGAGAGGGAGGGATGTGTCAGAGATGTGTGCCTGAGGTACCTTATGCGTATGTGGCATGGGATATACATGTATGTAATATGCGTGCATACATGCAAAAGGACTCCGGCTGGCTACACTGCGGGGTCTGGACTGACCGCAGCACCTCTGAGGTGTGTGCAAACGTCCAACCAGGACAGAGGCTGGGCCTGGCCATGAAAACAGACGACATTTCACATCGACGGGGGCTTCTGCATGGGCCTCACCCATGTGGGAGGAAGCAGCTCAGACCCACAGTAGCAAGGGCTGCGGCTGGGAGCCGTGGGGCTCTCCCGTCTGGAGCCTCTGCTTCCGCTCAGAGGGACGGCGTCCACACAGCCCTCTCGGAGGGCAAGGCTGGTATTTGTCTCATCAAACCCGCTAAACAAAGGCAATGGGGGAGCCACTGGGGCTCCTCCAGGATGAACGCGAGCAGGGGAGAGGGGCGGTGGGGGGAGCTGCCCTGTCCCTGCGGGGAAGGGACAGGAGCCAGCAGAGCCGGACATTGCCCCTCCCTCAACTGACCAAAACCCAGCAGCACAGCACGTGGGCCCCGAGGAGCCAGAGAAGCTAAAGCTCATGTTCGCCCCGGAGTCTCCCTTCAGTGCCGCCCCTTTAAGAAGTATCACATGGCCCGGCCAGCGTGGCTCAGTGGTTGCGCGTTGACCTATGAATCAGGAGGTCACGGTTCGGTTCCCAGACAAGGTACAAGCCCCGATTGTGGGCTCAGCCCCCAGTAGGGGGCATGCAGTAGTAGCTGATCAATGATTCTATTTCATCATTAATGTTTCTGTCTCTTGCTCCCTCTCCCTTCCTCTCTGAAACCAATAAAAATATAATTTTTTAAAAAAAGTATCATATGGCGCTGAAGCCAGAGACAGGCCTGCTGGAGATTTCTAAATTCTGTAGCATCTGAAATTAAATCAGTAAAAATAATTGTGTTGGAATATTTACATGGGATGTGGCTAATTCAGCACCAAGGACTCCGTGGGAAAGATGAAAGCAAGGTAGGTACACAGTTTCTAACAAGGACAGTCACTGGGCCTCAAACTCTCCTGGTTCTTGGGTCTCAAGACCCCCAGTTAGTGCGGCTGGAAAGTGAGGCGCTCCCACACATGGGCAGACAGAGCCCAGCTGGGCGGGATGAGGAGGGAGGGGCCCGCGGGCAGGCTCTGGCCACAGCGTCGTCACATTCCTGTCCCCCTGGAACCTGCGCACGTGGCCCCGTTTGGAACAAGGGTCTGTGCAGGTGCAATGAGCTGAGGTCACACAGAGCAGGACGGGCCTGAGTCAGGTGACCCGTGTCTGGATAAGAAATAAGGAGCCTCCCTCTCTCACGCACAGGAAGGGCCATGTGCCAACGGAGGCCGAGCTCCGAGTGATGTGGCCGCAAGCCAAGGAATGCCAGGGGTCCATAGCTGTCTGGTTCCAGTCCGTTATTTAAAATCGTGTTCTATACGCATCTCGATGGCAGGAAGGGGCCCTCGCGCGGGGCACGTGCCTCAAGAGCCCAGATCTGGTTCCCTCTGAACTGCTTTCTCCCCGCAGGTGTGAGAGCAGAGGGCAGTGGCTCTCACGGATGAGCCATTCACGCATGTCCTGGGAACATCCAGCCACACGGGAGTTACAAGAGGAGGAGGTGAGGGAGCAATTGTGGGGAAGGAGCCCCGAGCTGCCCGCTGACCCTGCCTCCCAGAGGCCCCCAGGAGCAGACACGACGAAGCCTTTCCACGCAAAGATGCGTCTGCCCACAGCAGCCGCCCGGAGAAGCCAAGGGCTGTCTAAGCTCAGGTCCTCAGGGGCCCAGGGGGGCTGAGGGGCAAGGCTGCCGGCGGTCCTGGCTCTCAGCTCGTGAAGATTCGTGAACAGAAACCTCGTGAAATTGGAGGTGGAGGGCTCCCCTGCCTTCCACTCACCCGCTGCCCCTCAGGAGAAACGCCCGCCATCTCCCCCTGGAAGGCCTTTTCCAGCCACTACTCCAGCAGGAGGGGGGATCTTCTCCTCGCCTGGCAGCCACTCAGCCAACGAGAAGCAGCCACACTCTGGACTCCCAGTTCCCCCAATGAACTGTTTACAGCAGCCCCTCTGCACCCCGCTTCCCTCTATAAGAGCCTGCCTCTCCTCTGTTCTCCGGACTTGTGGGTGGCGCCATTAGACTGTGTGTCCCTAATTGCCATTCTTTGCTGTTCCTGAGTAAACCCAGTTTGGGGAGAAATGTCCAACTGTCTGTCTGTCTCAGGTCAACAGGCAGGAGGACCCTCACCAGGCATGGCCGCCGCCTGCCCTTTGTCTGGTCAGAGAGTGGGACAAAGGGCCCGGCGGGGTGTCCCTGGGGTCTGGGCCAGCCACACTCACATACCCAGCTTGAATGAAACCTACGCGGAGAGACAGGGACCCCTCCCCGGGCCCCACCTGGCTCCCCGGGGTGCCTCCACCATCGGAGTGGCCGGCTTCTGTCATCTGCCCCGAGAGAAACGGAAGGGGCCTCCTTACCACAACCGGAGGCACCTCCAGGACCTTGTCCACATTCTTCAGCGACAGGGGCACGTACCACAGGGTGGCCTTGTTGGTCAGCTTTTTGGTACCTTCAGAGAAGAAACCACAGGAGTGAGGGCCTAGGGAAGGAGGGCGGGCGCCAGGAACGCCACCATCTGACCCCTGACCCCCCAGGCCTTTAGCCATGACGTGCAAGCACAGACCCCCAGCAAGGGGACCCTACCCACAATCCTGTCATTCCCAAAGGCTGCTGGGAAGACTGCAGGTCACCTGGTTCAAGGTGTGTGTGTGTGTGTGTACGCGCGCACGTTCCCCAGGCCTGTCGGCTTTCTGGCAGTTGCTAACACGGAGGCCCCAAAACCAGACAGGCTGTCTGTGAAGGGGTTTAAATAGAGGGCAAAGTGGGGCTGCCCCATCTGCTGAGAAACGTGGGCCAAAAGCAATCACTTGGTCCGTCCCCTCACTTGCACAGGAGGAGCCCGAAGCTCAGAGAGGTCAACGTGTTTGCCTAGGGTCACACAGCAACTCGGTGCCATTCTGAGTACAGACCTAGGCTTCCTGAGTCCCAGGAATTTCGGGGAAGTATTTGCAAGGATGTCTTTTAAAAACTGCCTCTTACGCCTGGCTGGTGTGGCTCAGTGGTTGAGCATCGATCTGTTCCTGGACAGAGCACATGCCTGGGTTGTGGGCTCGATCCCCAGCAGGGGGCGTGCAGGAGGCAGCCACTCGGTGATTCTCTCTCATCACTGATGTTCATCTCTTGCTCCCGCTCCCCGCCTCTCTGAAATCAGTATGTACATTTTTAATTGCCTTTTCCACGTGAAACCGAGTGGAATGGAGAGGAAGCGGGAAGGCGAGGAGCGGCCCAGGGACCGGGGAGCCCCTCCAGGCGCTCACTTCCTACAGTTCCTCCCGACCTGCCTTCCCAAGGTGACCCCGGGGCTGCGGCTTCCTCCCCTCACCTGAGGGGATGATTAGAGCGAGAGAGAGAGAGAGAGAGAGAGAGAGAGGCCATGGGGCAGCTCTGGCCCACAGCACCTGGGACAGCAGGCTCCGCGTGCAGGAGCCACAGGAAACATGGGGAGTCTTTTCACTGAACTCCGACTGAAAGCGAATCTGACAGCCTGCTTTTGGGAATAAAGATTTCCTGTCTGACTCAGCTAGAGCCAGCCTGACGAGCTGGTTTCCATGGAAACCCCGAGTGGCCCTCCTCTGGACCCAAATGAGCGCCAGGGAGCAAATGAGGCAAAACATACTAATTGCACTTTCCCCATCATTTAATAAAACCATCGAAAGGCAGCTGCGGCATTAGGAACGTCTACTTCAGAACCTAAGAGCTCCCAGCTACTTTCTGGAGCAATTTACAGCAACCGCACCCCGGTTAGCGGAATATTTTGACAGTTGCCGGAGATGAAGAGCCGTCTGCCTGCCTGGGTGTGTGCCGTTCAAGTGCCTCCCGACAGGCACCGTGGCCCGGGCGGGAGGGACACAGACGGGGCTGAGAACAGAGACGTCGCGCAAACAGCTCATGTTCAGCTTTGCCGGGCTGCTCCCTGCCAACCTGTTTCCGTACCTGTCAGAGCTCACCGCCCGCCCGTGGTGTTCGTGAGGGCCCGGCACTGCTCGGGGCGTCGGGGACTGCAGTGGACAAGGCAGCCGCAGCCCTGCCCTCAGAGGGCTCACACCCCAGGGACATGTGGGCAAAAAGCGACACAACAGGACAGGGAGGCCTTGGGAGACCAGGGTCCCAGAAAGAGACGCAAACAGATCCAAACAGGGGGGACCAGGCGAGCGTAAGAAAGGGGCGGCTCTTTAGCGGGGTCCAGGGCAAGATGACCAGGACGTGGAGAAAAGCCCAGCGTGTCTGAGAGCTGGGCAGTGCCACCCCGGCCTGTCTGAGCGGCTTCTCCGCTCTCCTCTGGGGGCAGTTCAAGTCCTGGGAGCTATCTGCAAGGCCGCGGCACCTCCTCAGGGCAGGGCTGTCCCCTCGCCGCCTCTGCCCTCACGCCAACGAGGGCTCTGTGCCACAGCCCGAGACCCGCAGCAAAAGGTCCCTCTGATGCCAGAACCACCTGCCCTGTGCAGGGCTCGGGCCACAGACGCGAGGCACAGGCACGCTGACCACTCCCCCACCCAGGCCCTTGCTCAGCTAAAGGTCCTGTGTTCACTGCAGCCGGGCCTGCTGAGGCCACCGTCACCCTGTGCTCCTGGCCCTGGGGGAGGAGCCTCTAGCCGCTCCCCGAGCTCTGAGCTCAGCGCTGCAGGCAGCCTCAGCCCTGGAGGGGGGTGGTCGGGAGGAGGGGCGAGGCCCCGGCAGCTCCCTCCTCCAGAACCGGGTGGGCTCGGGCTCTCCTGTGCCTGGGTGCGGGCAGGGGGGCAGAATGGAGGGTTGGGGGGCAGGAGCAGCCAGGGGACGGAGGCCCTGTTCCTCGGCAGCAGCCGGGCTATAAAAAGCAGCCAGTGCCAGTTAGAAGCAAAGCCACACTCCCCTGCAGCGCCCAGTGGGAGGATGAAAACAGGTTTCCATGGTTACCACACCAAGGAAGAGAATATTCGGATCAAACCAGAGTCAAAGGTCGCCCAGTGAGCTTCAGCCTAAACCTGGTTTGGGGCAGGGGAGCGGAGGCTGGCGGGGCAGGGGGGAGAGCAAGAGGTGCAGAGGGAGCGGGGCACTTGTGCCCTCCCAGCCACTCCCACCCTTTGCCGGGGATGAGCCGCCAGAGGCAGGGCGGGCAGGGCCCCCACACTCAGACCTTGGGCTCGCTGCTGACACAGGCCGTGCCGTCTCCCCGGTAGGAGCAGCTGCTCACTTTGTGGGGGGAGCTGGGACCAGCCCCTGAGCAGCACCCCTCCACCCACCCGAGCGGGGAGCGCGCGGTCACCTGTGAGGATGTTCTCAGACATGACGTGGACCTGCACCTCCACCGAGTGCTTGGACGTGTAGGTGATCTCCGCGCTGACGTGCGCCACCTCGCCGATGCACATGGGCGACAGGAAGTCGGTGCGCTCGACCCGGGCCAGGACGGCCACGCAGCGCTCCTGCAAAGAGCAGACACGGTGAGCCCGGCCGGCGAGCCCCGCCCCGGAGGTGCTCCCCCAAACGGCCCTGACTTTGTCACACATTCCTAAGGCAACACCACGGGAGCGCACATGCCCGTGGGACCCTCCAGAGATCGCGCCGTGACTGTGGGTGGGACTGCGACCGGCGTTTTGCTTTTATCCAATTTTCCTACAAAAGACACGTATGACTCGCCTGATGAAAGGTGAGAAAGACACGCGAGCTTATGTGGGAACTTGGGAGACAGAGACAAGCAGACAGAGGAGGGACGCCCCTCCTCCCGCCACGGACGACAATGTCTATTGTGGGATCTCCCCTCCCAGGCGCGTCCCCTAAGAACAGGGGTTCGCTGACTCATGGGTTCCTGTGTCTCGGTCTGTTTTGCAGCTTTCGTCCTTAAATAGCTGTGTAAAGACTAAATTCACACTTTCATGCTCTGCTTCTTTCGCTCAGCGGGAGGAAAGAGCCTGCGGTGATGTGACACGCTCTTAGCATCACTGGTCTTTTATGTAAATTTCACTTCTCTTGCAACCAGGCAACCCATTCTCATGACTCAAAATTCTAAAGGAACAGAAGGTCCCCAGCCCCCGGGACGTTAGGTAAGCACCCTTGGCCTTGCTCTCCGTAGTGGGGAGGACAGACACGGGGACGTGTCCCCAGGGCACTGCTCAACAGGCCGCAGTGCCGGCGTGGCCGCTGTCACCTGCGAACTGCACGACTCGACGGACACCTTGTGCCTGAGCAGAGGCTGTGGGTCCTCATCGCCTCACAGGGCGCCGAGCGCCTGACTCCCCGCCGGAAAGCAGCGTCCACTCCAGGAGCCTGGCCCGCAGCACGGGTCAGACGGGGGAGGGCCGGGAACAGGAGGGCTCACCACGGAGAGCGGTCAGGCCTGGGCCCTGTGAGGCCGGAGGTGGAGGCCTGATCGGGTCTCAACAAGGCAGGGGTCAGGGTGACAGCGAAAGGGCCACGCCTGCCGTCCCCACTCCG